ATCCTCTCCGCACAAGTTCGGATGTCACTCTCCGACCTCTGAGGCTTTCTGGAGTCTCTCTACTAGGTAAGGTCTTTTTTTTTTTTTTTTTTTTTTGCATCTGAAGCCCTGCGACTCTGTTATCCTCACAGTCCGTCTTGGGTTCTAGACATTTCCACACGTTTACCACACCTTTGCTGAGCCTTGATTGCCTTATTTATGAAATAGAGTTTCTGGAAAGAGTAAGGATTTGGTTTTATTAAAAATAAATATACTGCCTGATGTATAAAGCATTGTCTAAGAATTCAATATATATGTGTATATATATATATATACATAAAAAGTTTAAAAGTGTAGTTACACATACACAGAACTCTCATGCCCACTGTTTACAGTTCCTTCCAGACCAGTAGGAAGGAGAATTTTTTTTGAGGCTTACTGTATAGCCTTGGCTTAAAACTCACAGAGACCCACTGCCTCTGCCCCCCAAATTCTGGGATTCAAGGTGTGCACTATCATGCCCAACGAGAGCTTATCCTCACTGGAAGTATAGTACCCATGTTATTCTTCAACTTACTGTCCTCATTCTAAAGTAGCAAGGATAGGGTGTGGTACTTAAAGCACCTGGCTCAGTGCTGGGTACTTAGCAACAGCACCCAGAGCTATTCTGCATACCATGTGTTGATATTTAAATGTTTTCCTTTTAGCATCAAAGACCCTTTTCAAATAAAACAGTACAGGAGCCCTAAGTACTGCTATGTATGTAAACTAGACAGAGTAGTGCTTCCAGAGGAGAGTGAATGTGGATGGGGTGGACATGGAACGTAGCAGCTTATGCCTGTGCTCTCCCTGCTGAACTGGGGCTTCCTTGTTTACTTTGCTGTAAGCCTCAGTCAGCCGACCTTTTGGATTTTTGTCATTTAACTCTCCCTGTCACATCAGTGGATGACAATGGATTGGGTTCAGAAGAGGTCCCTGATCGTTTAAAAAAAAAATGTGTTAGAAGAGATTAGACACTTGGCCCTTTATGTGTAAGGATGCTTGGTCTTTTTTCTTCTTCCTTTTAAGTGGAGAAGAATTTTAAATGTGACTGGGTCACATTTCCTCACTGGGGTGGGGCTGAGGGTGGGGTGCTATTCAGTCCAAACGGTAGCTAACTCTTCTGTCCCTTTGAAAATTCTGTCATGCTTTTCCTCTTATGAACGCTCACTTGTATTAGTAAGGTAATTGCATGGACTCCCTATTCTCTCGGTCCTCTCCACAGCCCCGTGAAGTAGGTATTTCTAACTCTGCTGCTGCTGCTGCTGGGCTCAGAGGAGCTAAGCAATATGCTCAAAGGCTACACTGGTCCTTCTGTTCCAAACCTGTCCTTTCTCCTCTAAGCATCCAGGTCCTCTCTAAGACTAGGGGAGTCCAGCTTGCTTGCCCAGTGTTCTGCTCTGAGAAGTAATTCAACTGGCCCTGAAGATCTTTGAAGCGTCTAGTGATGCACCAGCTTGCACACAGCTCTCTTGGGCAGTCTCTCTCAGAAGCACTGGAAGGATTTTGCTTTTGATGTATCAGATTGTGCTGACCTTCTCCTGAGAGGAGTGGGCCTGAGGTTTGGGTCTCAATTCCAGACCATTATCACTCTTAGAACTTCCTCATGGCTAACAGGACCTCTCCTACTCCAACCCCCAAACTCTGGAAGCAGGAAGAGAATTTGCTGCTGAAGGTTCTAAAAAGAGCAGCATTGAGGTTCCCAGGAGCCAAGGTCTTTGCCATAGGGCCTGGGGCAGGGCCTGGGATAGATGAGGTAACCAGGATCTGATAGTGTCCAAGTCTAGCTTCTATCAGCAGAGTGCTCATGGCTTGAGCACATGGAACCGACCGCTCTGGAGTAAGAGGGAGCAAGGGTCCCAGACCATATCCTATTAGGGCATGGGATCCAATGGGGAGAAATGGGATAGGACCTGACAAGTGCAGATCACCCCTCAGTCCAGGCTGACTTCAACTGGGGTCTGGGCTGACACAGAACACGGGCTCTGGAGTCAGGGTGGTCTATCTGGAATCCCAGTGTGTTGGTTTAGCTGTTTTATAATGTTGGGTGAGTCTTTGGCCCCTCTCAGCTTCCATGTTCACATGTCCTCACACCCACCATGGTCCAGATGTTGTTCTGTATACAGTGGCTCTCATACCACTGTCAGAATGCTAGAGTATTTACAGTAGAGGCCGTCCAATAACAAACATGTGGAAGATCTGTTCAAGTTTATGAGATAAACAATTCAAAGGGTTGTCAAAGAACAAGCAATAAATATATGCACAAACAAAATTTCAACCTCAGAAGTATCTATGAAGGGAGGGTTGGAGAAATGGCTCAGCTGTTAAAAGCACATGCTGTTCTTACAGAGAACCCAAGATCAGTTCCCAGCACCCACAGGCATCTCACAATCCCCTATAACTTTAGCTCCAGGGGATATGATGCCTCTGGCCTCAGCAGGCACCTGTACTCACATGGATATACCCACACATAGCCACACACATATACACACAAAAATAAATTTTTTTTGCTCTGATTGTTTTTTTGTCTTTTGTTTTTCAAGACAGGGTTTCTCTGTGTAGCCCTGGCCATCCTAGAAATAGTTTTGTAGACCAGGCTGGCCTTGAACTCACAGAGATCCGCCTGCCTCTGCCTCCCGAGTGCTGGGATTAAATGCATGTGCCACCACGGCCTGCACAAAAATAATTTCTTAAATTAAAAATTTAAAAAGGAGAGAAAAGCAACACTGACATGTCATTATTATGCTTATTCAATTAATGTGTTACAAAACTTAAAAATAAGGCGGGAAGTAGCAGACCGCACATGCCTGTAATCCCAGCTCTGAAAAGGAAAAATACAATTATGAGGCTAGCCTGAGCTACATAGCAGACTCTCAATAATGATGATGGCAACAACAATTATTACTATTATAGGCTACTCTAGTGAGTGTGTGCTCTGTGTGGTACATTTATGCACTTTATTCAGTTTTAAACCTGCTTTTAAATTTTAACTGATACAAAAAAAACCTATAAAAATTATATCTCTGAATGGGGTTCCATGTAATGTTTGATACATGTATGGACTGTGACACTTGCATGTTTTGATGTGACCCCTTCAGAAAACAATACACCAAAATATATTACAGCTGAGGATGTTTGCAATCTTGGATACCGTCTTGGTAGCCTGAGGAATTGAGTTCATCCTAATGTCATAACTGTCTTCAAAATGCTTATTATTAAAAGCTTTCCAAACACATAAAGTACAATGGCTAAATAAAAGTAGTTATTAAAAACTGAGTGCTGGGGAAATGGTTCAGTTGCTGAAGGGCTTACTACACAATCGAGAGAAGCTGAGTTCAATCGTGGGGGGAAAACAAAAGCCAGGTATGGGCTCACACACCTGTAGTTCCAGCCCTGGGGAAGTGGAGACAGGAGATCCCTGTCTCAATCACCACCACCATCACCACCATCATCATCATCATCACCATCACCATCATCATCATCACCATCATCATCATCATCATCACCATCTGCACACGTGAGTTTGCTCTGTGTGGTTCATTGGCTTCCTGACCACCCATGCTAGCCCAACTGGCGAGCTCTAGGTTCAGTGAGAGAACTTATCTCCAAAAATAAGTTGGAAAGTAATTGAGGAAGACGCCCAGTGTCAAACTCTGACCTCCACACACATTTGCACACGTGTGCATACGCACCTTCACACAACTATGCACACACATAAACACACACACACACACACAAAAATCAAACATATAGAAAGAAACAATTAAATGGAGCAATTAACCCCCCCAAAGGAATATTTTTTGTAAAATTTACGTTTATTTTATTTGTTTGTTTGTGGGGGCGCATGGTGTGCACGTGCAGCTCAAAGGACAACTTGCAGCAGCCTGTTCCCCACCGCGTGTGGCCCAGGGATCGAACTTAGGTGGTCAGGCTTGGTGGCAAGTGCCTTTGCCCACTGAGCCATCTCGTCAACCCTAAAGGAATATTTTAACAGGAGAAAATATATCACACGTGTGGGACTCTCCACAGTGAAAAACAACCATCTAAAAATGCAACAGGAGTATGTCTCTGAGTTGTGATTCAGATCAACAGCCATAGGGCATGGGAAATGATAAATCTGGGGGGAAGTGTGTAATTGCATGGAGTAGAGCATGATGTTAAGTAAAAAATTTTTAAATTGTATCTACAGCTGATGATACTCTTATAAAATCATATATGTGAGCAAAGGTCGAAAAATAGGTGAAAGTATCTGCTGTGTTGGGATGGGAGATGATGGACTCTTTTTTTCTCTTTGAACATGGCCGTTGCATTATTTTTATATTAATTAACTGGGAGATAGATCTTAGACTCTGCCCCTGAATGATCTGTACATATTTATTTGTTGTTCGCCCATTTCACATGATTTACATAGAGGCTTATATGGAGAAGTGGCCGGGCCAGGTGTGGTGAGGCAAACCTGTAATCCCGGCACTGGGAAAGCTGAGGCAGGAGGACAATGAATTTGAGGCCAGCCTGGACCAAGCTTCAAAATAAAAAAAAATTTAAATGGAGTTGGGGATGTAGCGGTGATAGAGTGCTTGCCTAGCATGCACACATTCCTGGGAATAGCAGGGTTTGGGCACAGACCATGGTTTCAGTGCTGGGCTGGCCCATGAGTGGGCTCTCCAAGACTCCCAGAATGCCAGAACTACACAGGAAAGTCTGATGCTTCATGTTGTAGTCAGAGGTCCTGAGGCCCAGAGAGGCTGGGTTTCGTAAATATTCCAATAGGGGTAGGCCCTCCCCCTTAGAAGACGGGCCACCCTTGGTCCTTTTATCTGGGCACATAACATCTAGAGTCAGCCATGTCTGGGTGGGGAGACGGCACCTTAATGGAGCGCATTCTTCTAGGGCAAGTGCTGGGTTGAGGGCAGCTAGCTGATGGAGGGCCGAGAGATGCCGTTCTTGGGATGCAAACCCCCAGGCCATGGTCATCTCCACAGGACCCTGAATGGCCTCAGCCAGACCCGCCCCTTACAGCAGCACACAGGGCTGTCCAGGACCGTTCGGCGTTACCCGGCCGCTGGTGCCAATGGCCAGCTGACTTCCAACGCCTTGCCTTCGGGACCAGGACTTGAGCTGAGAGATGGCACCCAGCCAGCATCACATGTGAACCACCTCTCACCCCCTTGGGGTAAGGTTGCATCTGAACCTAGGAGAGCAGAGAGGATCTAAATCCGACCCATCCTTGCCCTACCTCTGCTTCCGCCCCCACCCTCAGAGGACAGAGCTGTCACCTTGTCCTTCACTGTTTCAGCCAGCCAACAAACAGTATTGGTGCACTCGCTTTGTGCCAAGTTCCAGAGTGTCAAACTAATCCATCTGGACCCTAGCGACTTTGACGGCAGTCTGCCGTCTCCTGCTCTGTCATCTCTGGTCTGCCTTTGCTTCCTCCATGTCCAGCTGGGGCCTCAATTCCCTGACTCATGCCCTTCCACATTACCCTTTCTGCAAACTCCAACCCTGGACCCATGCAGCCAGCTGCTGCTTCTAGGAAACCCCCAGCGTTTCCGGACACCTGTCACCACACATACCGCCATTGCCTGCCGCCCTCGCTTCCTCCTTGGTGTTTTCCTGACTTCGCCACACCCTGCTAAATGAAGCTGGTAACCAGATCCCTCCCCCCACAAACCTGATTCTCGCCATTCCTCAGGCCTTATCTTCCTCTATTTCCCCTGGGAACCACCAACCCCCTCTGCCAGCCGGAACTGTGTTCTACTCTCTGCCCTTGTGCTCAAAGCCTAAGTCTGCACTCTTTGGCTGTGTGATGAAGGGCGCCCTGGATATGGCTCTGCCTCAGTCCAACGGTAAAATGAAATATTCTGTTAGATAGTTGAGAATTGCCAGTGCAGTTTTGAATGGCTCCTCTCGCGGCAGCACATATCAGTGTGCACGAAGCATGAGCCTAAGGGGGCCTATCTGGGCACTTCTTGAAAACATTGCCCTACCTTGACCACAGACCTGGTGTCCAGGTCTTAGCAGGTGCTGTGAGATGTACCTCTCGTCCTAAGGGCCTTTTGCACCAGGCTCTGGAGATCAAGGTTATGCTTTGGCTCTATCCAGGACCCAAGCCCTCTCTCTGCAGGGCTGAACCTCACGGAGAAAATCAAGAAGATCAAGGTCGTCTTCACCCCTACCATCTGCAAGCAGACCTGTGCCCGTGGTCGCTGTGCCAACAGCTGCGAGAAGGGTGACACCACCACCCTGTACAGCCAGGGTGGCCATGGGCATGACCCCAAGTCTGGCTTCCGTATCTGTGAGTCCCCTTCCCACAGACGGTCTTGGCGTGGGGGGGGGGGGGGAGCTGCCTCTCAGGGACGCCTTGGCATGCAGTCTCCTGTCCTCTAGTTCTGTCAGTAGTTATGTATCACAGCCGGGAGTGAATCTGATCCCGGCTCTGTCCCAGCCGGGCTGTGTGACTCCAGGCAAGTCACACAACCTCTCTGAGTCCTTGACAGAGAAGAAGCACGCCCCTGCCTGTGCTCTAGGTTATCGTGGTGGGCAGGAGAGACATGAGGAGGCTTCTCTGAAAAGCAAGTTATGTGCTTGTCTTCACTCCAAGGGCTTCGAGGGAAGGCCTTGCATTTCAAGGGGCTCCACATCCTCCAAGCCCCTCCCCCCAAATTTGGTGTCTCACCTCGCTGCTTGCTTGTCACCAACTGGAGGTCAGCGGCCAATCACTCGGAGTGTTGTTGTAGATTTCTGCCAGATCCCCTGCCTGAATGGAGGGCGCTGCATTGGCCGGGATGAGTGCTGGTGTCCAGCCAACTCCACAGGGAAGTTCTGCCATCTGCCTGTCCCACAGCCAGACAGGGAGCCTCCAGGGAGAGGTCCCCACCACAGAGCCCTGCTGGAAGGGCCCTTGAAGCAATCCACCTTCATGCTGCCTCTCTCCAACCAGCTCGGTGAGTGCCAGCGATGTGGGGCAGCCAGCCTGCAAGGTTCACCGGGTAGGGTGTGCCATTGCTGTGCCAGGCCGGGACAGGTCTCCATGCCATTCCCTATGCTTCTGCCTCCCATCGGAGTTCCTCCGTGTGTGTGTGTGTGTGTGTGTGTGTGTGTGTGTGTGTGTGTGTGTGCCCTTCACCTGTGCTGGGGAAGACAATGCAGCTTATGGAGCCCCCAGCACCCCACCCCCCAGCCTGGGCAATAGGGAGGGAATGGGTGGGGGGAGAATTCAGCGTGCATTTCATTTCCCCGCCTTCTGTTAATAGGTGACAAATTAGAGGTATAAATATACAGAATTCTATAGGAGTTGGGATGGCTGGGTGGTGGGATGACCCTCGGGTGTCCCTTGACTGTGGCTTGCATGTGGTTCAATGGTACTCAGGGCTTCACACCGTCACAGAGGAGGTAGAATCAGAAAGAACTTTGCAGCTTTCAATGCAGAGCGTGCCATGGAAAAGTTACCACTTCTTCCTGTCTGGGGGTTCGGGGTGGGGGGGGGCATTGTTCTGGTCCCACATAACAGGCAAAGAAATGGAAGGAGGCATTTGGAGAGACACACAGTCTGGAGCCCGCCTGACCTAGGGTGGTGGGCACTCTTCATAGGGCAGAAGCCCTTCTTGGCTCTGACCCCAGCCCTTCCGCCTAGCCTCTGTGAACCCCTCGTTGGTGAAGGTGCATATTCACCACCCGCCTGAGGCCTCTGTGCAGATCCACCAGGTGGCCCGGGTCCGGGGTGAGGTGGATCCCGTGCTGGATGAGAACAGTGTGGAGACCAGAGCTTCTCATCGGCCCCCTGGCAGCCCAAGCCACAGCCACTGGGCCGGTAACAGCATACCTGCTCAGGCTGGAGAGGCCCCTCGGCCACCACCCCCAGTGCTGTCCAGGCGGCAGGGACTTCTGGGCCGGTGTTACCTGAGCACAGTGAATGGACAGGTAAGAGAACAAAGCTCCTGTCTCAGCTCTTCAGGTGTCTAGGACGGCTATGGCATCCCTAGTCTGTAGTTCTCTCTCTCTCTTCCTTGTTCCATCTCCCACATGGGCAAATCCACAGCACAAAGGTCCCTGAGTGGGTTGGAGATGCAGTTCAGTTGGTAGGATGCTTGCTTCATATGCAGAAGGCCCCCGGTTTGATACCTAGCACCACATAAACCAGGCATCGTGGCACACTCCTGTAATCCCAGCACTGAGGAGTTAGAGGCAGAAGGATCAAAAACTTAAAGTAATCCTTGGCTACACAGTGAATTCAAGGCCAGCCTGAGCTACAGAGACTCTGTCTAAAAAGGGGAGGGATGCTGAATGTGGAGAGGCCGGGTCTTCTCCCTGAGCTGCGTATAGTGCCTGTCAGTGCCAGGCACACGGAAGGGGACCACGGAAGTCCCCCTGTAGAAGAGCCCTCACTAGTACCTGCTGTCTAAGACAACCTAGAGTCTGGACTCAGAAAAATACTGGCTTTCTGGGAGTTGAGCCTAGGACCCTTGGTGCATGGACGGCAGGTGTCACAGATGTCTATGGTCTTTCTCCCCCCCCCCCCCCGCCCCCCGCAGTGTGCGAACCCCCTGGTGGATCTGACTTCTCAGGAGGACTGCTGTGGCAGTGTGGGGACCTTCTGGGGGGTGGCCTCATGTGCTCCATGCCCACCCAGACCAGGTGAGTACCGGTGTCAAGATGGAGGGCTATGGGAGTACGGGGGAAGCGCTCCATCCCTATCCCTCACCACCAAGGGTTCCCAAGGCCCGGCAATATTTCCAGATGTGTCGCAAGGAGCCAGCTCAGCCCCTCCGCCCAGCACCTAGGTCTCCGCTCAACCATATAGTCTGTGTGGGGATCCCACTTTTGCAGTAGATTATAGGGGTGCCAGCCAGTGATGGACCCCTTCCATCTTCTCACATACACCTGTGCCTAGGCCCCAGGACCCTAGAATGTCTCCCTCCTTTCTCTGAGAGCCTTGGGCCTCCTTCTCCCCTCCTGGACCAAAGGTGAGTGCCTGTCTGAAAATGCCCTCAACCTCGGGGTGTGAGAGCCCCGGTTCCTTGCCGCCTTTTGGATGACTGGGTAAATCTCAACACACATTCGTTCATTCATTTGTTCACTCAGCAGATATTGGCTGGATGCCTCTTACATGCCAGGTCCTGAGGATTCAGTGAGCAAAAACCCACTTACACTGCTCCCAGAGGTCTTATTCCGATGTCTGGGAGGGGTGACCAGGTGCCTGTGCCTGAGTATGGCTTCTGCCTACTCAGTCTGTCTCCCTGTTGTCATCCCCTCCCCCCCCCGCCCGCCCCCAGGCCTCATTCCTGGGCCTGGACCTGGCACGTATTCTTCTTGCCTGTCAGCAGTCAGCCCTGTGAGCTGGTTCTGTGGGGGGCCTGGAGCACAGCCCAAAGGTGGGAGGAGCGGGGTTGTTCCCAGCACCAGACTCAACAGTACAAGCCGTGACTACATTTTCCACACTAAAAGTAAGTGCAGATGGTTCCACAGTGCGGTGTGTTTCTGTGAAACAGCAAAGGGTTGTACTCGGCTCAGAGGCTTTCCCATCCAACACGTGTCAGGAGACAGTCGTCTCTGCTGTACCTCCTTACCACTCGCTGCCTTGGCCCCCGCTCTTGTGAAGTTTGGCACCGGAGGGGAATAGTGTCAGCCCGAGGGGGTGGCTATGGTTAGTACGTGAGAGGGACCACATGGCACCTGTTAGGGATGACCCTCCGTATCTCCAATTCTGTAACTGCAGAGTCAACCAATCTCAGGTCAAAAATATTTGCAAGGCAGGCAGGGCCAGTGAGATGGCTTTGCACCTGCCCCTAAACCTTACAACCTGAGTCCATGTGGGACCCACGTGGTGGAAGAGCTGACTTCATGCATTGTCCCCTGACCGCCACGTGCCCTGTGTGATACTCGCACACTCACACACATACACGTGCCCACACACAAAAATAAATAAAAATGTAGTTAATTTAAAAAAAAAATTTGAAGGACAATTCAAGTTCCAAAAAGTAAAACTTGAATTTGCTTTTCACAGAACTTGATGCTGAAACCACACAAAATGAAGTAGTTGCTAGGTGATCGTGCGCTCCTATGGCTCCCTCCTGCTTCCCCAGTCTGGGATCCTGTGTCGACAGCAGTCACATGAGCCTTGTTCACCTAACCCCTAACACCTGGTTTACTGTACAGTTAGGGCTCTACACACAGACCTTTTTCTTGTCAGAATCCCTAAAAACTATATAGTGCTAATTTGCACATAATTTACATATGCTTAAAATATTATAATCAATTTAGAAGTGACTCAAAGTTGTATGAGAGGATGTACATAGGTTATATACTATGCCATTTTGTGTTAGAGACTGGAGTAGCCACAGGTTTTGTTAGCTGTGGGGGTTCTGGAGTCAATCTCTCATGGATACTGAGGGGAGGCTGTGTATTGAAGATGATGGTGGTGATGATGATGATGTCTCCTCAGGAAAGGGAGAAGGGACACACTGACCTTGGGAAAAACATATCAGTCTACTCGGGGACTTTGCAAAAAGCTAGGGACATTTTGTGTGCATATGCCACTTTTCTTGTGTTCCCTCCTCAAGCCAATTCTTGGGACTTCTTTGGTGTAGTCCACGAGTATTATCACTAATGAAGACACATTTGGTGTGAACGCTCTGAGTGGACCATGGCGAATGGGGTAGAAGCAATGCCTCCCGTCTCCAAGCTGGTAGCCCCATGGGCTGTCGGTTGGCTTTAGAAGTAGCCTAGTGTAGCATCTGGACCAGTGCTGTGTGCTGTGGGGACAGACAGTGCCACTGGGCTACTGGTGAGTCCTGGGGCACTTTTGTTCACATTAGGAAAGAGGGTCCTTCCCTATGACCAGAGCCATCTTCATGAATATGCAGATCTACAGTGTGGGTGACACCATTAGATTCGGTGCTTTTCCACTGTATACAACTTGCCTGTCTCTACATTGAGGGGTCAGGAGCACCGGCTGAAACTGTGAATCAGGGACAGCTTCTTAGAGGAGGTGACACACAGGATGATGACTAGGGCGGACAGTCAAAGGGGTGGGGAAGAATTTAGCGGTCCTAGGGAATTGTATTTGTAGGTGAGACCAAGAAGGGAACATGGTTCCCGGAGTGAGGCATGCAGGGATTCTAAGTGCATTGTATAGGCTGGCTCCTGCACACAGGTCATTGGGCTTGGCAGCAAGCATCTACTGTTGAGCCTCTGGGTCCCAGACATCTACTGGTTATGGGATTTAAGCAGGAGCATAGGACCCTGCTTGTTCAGGGTGCAGAGATGCAGGCTGTAGGGATTGCTGTGGTCAGTGAGAGATCCTTGGCTTGCTCCTCTTAGCAGGGGCCGGTGTGCACAGTGACTGTAACACCAGTTCTAAAGGACATCCTTACTTGGAAGGTGGGAATGAGTGAGAAGACCAACATTTGCACTTTGGGGACTGTTTGCCTGCCTACCTACCCCACTCAGGGTCTGGGCTGTGTGCCAGTCTTGTAAGATTAACTCAATGGTTGACCAAGGACCTGGATCCTGGTAGAGCTGGCCATCTTTGACCATTCAGGACCTGGACCTCAGCCACAGTGGGCATGGGAGAAGATCTTTGGATCGGTTGTACTACATGTATGTGACAGTGCAAAACACAGACTGAACCTCCATAGGCACACTCAAAACTCAGCTCTTTCTCGACATCTCTCAGGTGGTGCCCCAACCTTCTCCCTCCCCCCCCCACCAAGTGCTTGGCACAGCTCAGCGAGCTGGGCAGCAGGGTACAGACCCTGGAATGGCAAGCATTCCGGCATACTGAGCAAGAAATAACAAAGACCAGGGCAACATAAACATTTCAAACACACGACAGTACAGCCGAGCACCTTACGGAGGAAGGGGCAAGCAAGGCATTCAGGAACCTTGTTTGTGTTGACGATTGGCCAAGACATCTAGGGCCACACCTTACCCCAGGGCTCGCAGGGGTGTTTCTTTAAGTGGCTTGACAAACAAGCTACTGTGCAAGCATCGTCGTCGAGGACAAAAGACGCGGCTGAGTGAGTTTGGGGGGATGCTTGGCAGGAAAAGCAGAACTTCTGGATTCTAGAGCATTCTCATCCTCGGTGCCTTTCCTTTTCTCTCTCCTCTGATAAAATGGGACTGTGTCCCCTAGGGAAAGCTTTGTCTTCCCCGGCGGCGGCATCAAGTCACGATGTCAGCGAGAGGATGGACAGCCGGGGACCCACGGGACTCCATGGCTTCCCCCCCAGGTCACATCGGTCTTTCGAGGCTCCGTGCCTGACTGTTGAAGACAGTCACTGTAGAAAGTTGCTCTTTCTAACATACCAAAGGACTGCCTTGAATTCTCAGTCCCAACCACACAGACGATTCCCTTTTCTTCCCGTTCCTCAAGGAGATGGCTCTAAGATTCGGTCTAGACCTACTGCGAACCCTCCTCTCTCCTCCCTCTGAGTGAGTGATACAGCATGTCCCCCAGTGACCTCTGGGATTTAGCCTGATCCCTGCCTTCCTGACCCCTTGGGAGTCAGTAAAAAGTCCCAGCCCAGAGTCTCTTCAGTGTCCTGCCAGCGTCTGGGAACACACCGCTTTCGAGAGTCGCTTTGATTGAGGCCATATTTTTGAGTTTCCATCTAAGACAGACATCTGGGTTAACTGGAAAGTTGGCAGCTGCCTCATCAGGCTTGGCACTGGCTGTGTCAACCCCAAGGCCCCTTTGCTGGAACGGGTGGGGCTGGCACTTGGCTCCAGACCGGCCGTGGTGGGCTCCAGCTGTTTGCCACGAGAATGTCTTTCCATCTGCCTGGCCTGGCATGAGTTTACCTCAGGACCCAGGCCCCCTCCCTGGTTCTCCAGGGGCTGCAGACTCTGTCCCTCTGTCCTTCCAGAAAGACAGCATCACGTGAATGCCTGCCACTTGCTGAACTGTCGCTGTACCTACATTGCCTCATTTAATTTGCATCAGCACAAACTGGGGATCTTGAAGCCCATTTAACAGATGGGGAAACGCAGCCCCAAGGAGGCTGAAGAACTCCTCGAAGACTGCAGGGTGAGGACAAATAAAGCTAGCACTCAAAGCACAGTGTGTCTGAACCTCAGATGGCCCAGATCTGGACCTGCTTGCGAGAGACACAGCCTAGGGCACTAGACTGGGAGGCATCCTGGGAGTCTGCACGCCAGCCTCGTATTTCATGAGTGACTTGTACATGAAGGATCATGTCCATCCAAACTGGCAGGCAGGCAGGTTGGCAGCGTGTAACCCAGGCCTAAGTGTTAATGGAGGTATGCTCAAATAATTGCCCTATATAGAAGGAGGGAGGCTGTTTCCGAGGGATCCTAAGGAGAAAAAAAGTAAGAGGGTAGATGTTTCTGGAAAGCAGAGCTCAACTTGAAACTGAGAAAAGGGTGCAACTTACCAGAGACTGCAAATGCCCAGCAATAAAACGCCCTGTGTCTGGAGGTACCAAGATCCTTCCTGCAAGAGGTATACCTGTCAAGAACAAGTGTTTTGGAGGTGGAGAAGCAGCTTGACTTGAGAGAATGAGGGCCTATGTGCGTGGTTAAGATTTATTGATAGTTCATAGGATGAAAGCTCTGTCCCATAAGAAGTGTTATGGGAGTAGTCTGTGATGTCAGGCCTGGGGAAAGTTGGGTCT